TGAAGAGCCTAGAATAACCTTGGAACATCCAACAAACAAGTAATAAGAATACTCCAACTTATGAGGTAGAAGTAGTTGTTTTGATCAAAGACCAAATTCTTCGGTGTAGCTAACTCAAAAGGAAATGTGTAGCAGCCAGAGGGGAGAATTAACAAACAGATCTTGGAGTTGCAGGGTTATAATTTATTAGCATCATTTTTACCATGATTCTAGGACAGGGCAAAAAATTAATTTGGACAGAAAGTGGGGTAATAATATGGCCATATCATACTGAATGCCCAAACTTAGGTTTTATTCATGATTTTTAGGCTTGACATGTAATGCGAGAAACTTTTGAAGGCTCCAGATTTTAAATCAGATAAAAAGCACTTCCAGCAATGGCTTTTCTTATGTTTTTCATCTTTCACACAGGCCACATTTGATTGATACCTTGCTCAGAAAGACTGTTATAATAGAATGTATCTGAACACTTAAGGAGCCAAAAAACTCAAAAATTAAATTTAGCAATGGAGTAAGAGATTCTGGTACCTCACTCAATCAAATTTCACAAATGATACAAGTAGACATTTTTCTTATTGTTTGTGTTTTTCCTTGCCACTTGGGGACTCTGAACAACACTACACAACTTGAAAAATATCTGTAAGTGTTATATGTGAAACCATGGAATAAGGTGTACATGTCTAGAATAAGAATAAGATTTATGTACAGTATGATATAATTATAGTCATGAATCTGCACCAATCATTTTAATTTGCTTCTTCGATAAAGTATCAAGTTTGTCAGCCTTTATTATTTTTAATTATTCATAGTTGTTTGTGTATCATTATTTCTCTCCAATTTTTTTTGCATTGTAACGCTTGAGAACAAGGAGCCAATTACAAAATTTTTTTCAATTGTCTGGCTTTGGTTCAGGTAACTCAGGAAAAATTGACATTTTCTTCAGAAGAATTGAGCCAATTGTGTTTTTTTTAACTACTACTAAACAAGTGTTATATTTTGATAGCTGTCCTCCAATTGTCCCTTTCCTTTTATCACGAACCATAAACTTTCCTCTTTGTTCCTGGTTTTGCTGTTTAGATGTTGAAAAACACCATGGCCACATGATTCTTCCTGGCGTAGCATATATACGCTGTACCTTGCCAAAACCCAGAGGCTTAGGATTGTCTTTCCCTTTCTCTCCTCTCCCCACTCCTCTAAGGGTTTTGTTCTGGCCCTCCCCCTCTATCCTCTTTCCCATCCCCCCTTCCCCTTCTCCCTCTTCTCTTGGGATTGTCAGTCCCTCCCTTGCCCTCCATTTTCCCTCTCTATCTCCATCCCCTTATCATCTCTCCTCCCCCTCCAAGATTGATATGGTTAGTCCACTTGTCACCCCAGCCCCCTTTTAAAGAGCTAAACTGATGGATAGGAGGGTAATCTCTGCAATACATGTTTCTGCTCAATAGTGTGTGTTATAATTATTTAATACACTAAAACAGTGGATAGTGTTTAAGGTGCACTCTGATTGGCAACTCAAACTCCAGATATCCATTATACTAAAACAGTGGATAGCGTTCAAGGCGTGCTCTGACTGGCTAGTCAAACTCCGAATATCCTTTGCTATTTACCTCCGTGCAACTCGGGACCCGGTTTGCATCCGTGACAAGCGAAGAAATCACTCAAATTAACGACGGTGGTTTATATCATCTGACTGTTTTAGTATATACTAAAACAACTATTCACCTCCACTTTGGTGAATAGTTGTTAATTATTCACTTAGCAACTCAGGCAGGATTTACACCAGAAAATATTGTAATAGTCGCAAGAATAAATGACAGAGCAACATGTAAAATCATCTTTTTGAACTGCATTATCTTTTAAATTAGTTAATGTTTTCCTTTATACTAAAACAACCACTTACCTCAATGTCGGTGGCTGGTGGTAGATAATTATAATATTTACCTTGCTGCTTCACTGCTTCGAAAAACACCAAGTACCTTATAACTATGAAGGCTAGAATAAAATTAATATTATGTTGTTCTCTAACTCCTTGCTAATCATTATGATTTCCAGAAAGATGCCAGTCCTACAAAACAAATGCCTCACAAACCTTCATCAGGGATCATAGTAACAGTGTAAGCTCAAATATTTTTAAGAATCAAAAACCATTTTCTCAATAATAAAATATTCCAGAAATATGTGGTGCTTAAGGTTGCCCAAGTCAATTTGATTCTGAAAGTCTCATGAGAATGCTGGGGATTGCACAGTAGGCAGAGTCCTGGCCTCCCACTGCTGTGGCCAGGGTTTAATTCCAAGAGCTGGCATCACCTGTGGGTTCAGTTTGTTGTTGGTTCTCATCCTTGGCTCAGTGGTTTTTCTCCAGGTCCCCAGTTTTGCTCCCTTCCACAAAAACCAACATTACAAATTCCAATTCGACCAGGAAACAGTGGACAAGAAGAGCCACCACATTGAATAACCACTGCTACAATGCAATTGTTATAATTATAGTTGCTTTATTTTCGATTCCTCATGAGAAATCAGAATTTTTCCTTTGTTCCTCACTTGTGACAAGAGGAAAAACTTCTTACTCTATTCCTTTACCCAAATCAAAACTTACCATTCGCTCCAACGAAGGGCTAACGCTCGAAACGTCAGCTTTTGTAATCATTATGGTGGCCAATTTACCACTTCAACTTTGTTGATATATCCAAATTATTTCGTTACTCCCACCGACGCAGCCCCAAACAGTTTCTTTCGAAACTATCAGCCTTTATTCAAAACTTACCATCTTTCTTATTCTATTTACAAAATTACTTCTGTCAGTCTTTGAAAATTACATATTAAT